GAGACAGTGTAACTCATTTAATTGGGTCATTATGGTGAGCAATGGGAAATGAACCAAACTGGTGGTACAATATCGCCCTCTTCTGGAATCAGATGGTAAAGACCCACCCCAAGGAATTGGCAAGACTAAGTGGAATACTTTTCCCAGTTTAGCCCCAGTTTAGTCTGGGGTGACCTTCCACTAGCAGTTTCAGTGCTATAGTGTGGCTTTACAGAGCCCATCATGAACGCAGGGAGACAACCACAGCAAAAGTCTGACTAGATTAAGGCTCACACCACAGGAAGGGGCCTGTACGGTGCTGCAGGCCCAGGACAAACACTTGCCTTAAACAGATAGGATGTGTGTGTCAAACTGATTTCTAAACATTTGTGTTTGTACCATAGAGGGCTGCTGCTCTCCCTCAGTAATGGAGGGCCATTTCTCTTCTGCATTGGGAGATGCTCACTGCAGCGACGCACCAGTCAGAGTCTGAGAACAACTGTCTACTGCTGTAGCAGAACGACCCAAGGCGCCGTCAGAAACAGGACAAGAAACACACATGTACAAGGGGGAACATCACAGAGGAAGGGGCAGCAGAGTGTGAAAGCCAGCTACAGCATGTCATGTAGCCATTTCCTCTAGACTGAAACATTCTGTCACAAAAGGGACAGAGACACCCGAGGCTCCTGGAATTGACAGGAGGGCTGGCAAAACATCTCAGCAGCTAAAGGTATTTGTGACCAAGCCTGACAACCATATCTGAGCTCTAGTCCTCCAAACAGTTAAAGGAAAGAACAGATCCCTGCAAGCTGTCCTCTGACCTCCACAGGCACAGTGTGGCATCTGCTACACACACATATGCTACACGCACACACATGGACACCTGTGACATACGCTACACACACACAGCTGTGACATATTCTACACACACACCTGTGACGTGCTACACACACACACACTAAATATTTTGAAGGAAACAGTAAACTCACAGCTCTCAGGAAACTCACTAAAGTTAGAAAACTCATGAGGGTCCCCACCAGATAATAGATAAACAGCAAACAAGTTCAGGAAGACGAGATGCCTAGGTGGAGCAGCTGGGTACAGGCTGTATAGGGATCCACAATGCAGCTTTCACGAGTCCCCATTGTGGCCTTTTCAGTGACACCGCTGTGAGTCACTTATGCTCCAGTAAGCAATCGCAGCAAACTTCCTGGCTCCCCAAGTTCACCAGCTGGAACCGTTAATGTCTGTCCTCTTTATCTGAACTGAAGAGATGTGGACGCACCAGCAGAGTAACGCAGCCATGTTAAAATAGGTTTCCTTAAAACTAACAGGATGCTTGCGCTGAAACGGCTTTAGGAGCTTCCTTCTACATACCGGCCAGGTGGTCACCAGTCCTCGGTTTAATCTGTGTTAGAGAACTTATCCTCTCTGGCTAAGTCCTTTGGGATGAGAAGTACTTCCATCCCGAGTCTACCTTCTTAATATGGCTGTCTCTATTGTCTTGTTCTCAAGCAGAAACCTCCATCTAAGTGTGACATTCTAAGAACAGGAGCACTAAGCAAAGACCACTGTCACCGTTTCACCACAGATGGGCTGAGATCCAACGTCATCCACACTGTGTCCCACTCGGTAGCATCTAACTAGCTCTGTCTCTAACCAGTCCTAACCGACGTTCCCGAGATGTCGGTCCTTTAACGTGGCGGCTACTTTTTAAACTCAAGTATAAGAACCCATATTTATTATCATTTCATCTTTCTAGACTGTTCTTGTTCAGAAGCTCTTGTGAATTAACCATAGCATCTGGCATGTCTACTGCACTCTCAAGCCTGTGTCCTGGAGCCTATAGGGATGGGGAAAGAGCCCTGGTGACACGGGGACTCCCTGCACTCCAGTGATGTTTGTGTTCCCATGCGCAGGCGTCATCAAAGGGCTTCTGTGTCTCCCTTAGGAGACTAGAACTTGGAAGGACAGAAAGACAAGACCCAGCAACTATTTTCATCCTCTTCCCTCAGTGGAGTTCACATGGCTGACCATGGGCATGTTAGAAGCACTGTCCAGCTTAGGACCAGTCACTCATCCAGCTCCTGTGGATGCAGACAGTCCAGCATAAGCCAGCCGACTGTGTTCCGGCCCTGCCGTGTTCCGGCCATTCTCAGGAAGGTATCACGAGAAGGAGTGGTCAGTGGCAGCCATGTTCCACCAGCTCTCCAGATGCTGCAGATACGCTTTGCTCCAGCAAACTTCTTCTGTGTTGTTCTTCCTCGTGCCCAGTGCCTACGACTCACACCCGCGGTGCTACTGGGCTGGAATCTTACAAACATTTGCAGCCAAGCTCACCAGCGGCTAGTGTTCAGAAGTGTTCACCTTTGGAAAAGCTGAGTGGCACTTTGTCCCCGATCACTTGGAAAGTGTGCTGCCTTTAGCATCCCTGAGGATCACAAGCAGCCGCAGGCTGTTGAAATCTATGTTAAAATGTAATTTACTGAGCCAGAGCACTCAGCCCCACTTAGGAAAGCCTCACTTCATGGAGCCGCCATTCTCCCGAAAATGGTAACTCAGCTTTCTGTTTTTGAGAAAGATCACATTTTCCCTGACAGAAAGTCAGAAGAAAAGCAGGATTTTCAGAAGTCGACTCTATCACTATGAGCAGTGCACCAGCATTCCAAACAGGTCTGCGCATGTCCTAGACAACCTACACAAATCTCCCTCAGCAGTTCTTGTGAGCCTTACTCACTGAAGGATCTGCTTTTCTGGTTGTTATCCTAACAGATCAAAGTCTCCTTCTTATATTTGCATTCAAGTGACTCTGTCATTGTTGGGTTTCTTGTTGTTGTTTTGTTTTATTTGTAACTGATCTCAGTTTTGCAAAATTAAACTTGTCTGTTCAACTTGGGCAACAGTTACACAGGGAGTTCATCAGGTTACTCACAACACTCTTTTATAAGTTTTTCAGAAGAAAAAAGGTCCCCCCTCCCCCGCTCCTGCTTACCTTCAGGAACTTACTCTACAGCCTGAGATGAAATCATGATCCCCTGCCATACATACGCCTCGTTTCTCAGTCTTACCCTTTTAAAAGGATGATTTCTTGAGACAGGCTTTCCCAGGCTGTCACAGCAGCCGTCCTGCCTCAGCTGCCCAAGTGCTGTGTCACAGGCAGGAATCCCCAAACCTGGCTTCCCAATTCTTTATAGGGAATTTTCTCTAAACTTACTTTTATTGGTTAGAATAATTTGGTTTGGATTAAAATCTGAATTTTTGCTTTCTCTAAATGTCCAAAGACTTATAACTTATCTTTTGGCCCAGGTGTTTATGCCAGTTTTTCTTATATTGAAATTCACCCAATTCACCGGGTGGTGACACACACCTTTAATCCCAGCACTTGGGAGGCAGAGGCAGGCAGATTTCTATAAGTTCAAAGCCAGTCTGGTTCACAGAGCGAGTTCCAGGACAGGCTCCATAGCTACTGAGAAAGCCTGTCTCAAAACACCTAATTTGCCAAAATGTATATCCCAAGTTCTCCCCCCCCACCACCACCACCCTATCTCAGAAACATATTTTTTTTAATTCTTAGTTTTGAGCTGGCAAGATGGTTCAGAAGGTAAAGGCACCTGTTGAGTTCGGTACCTGAGACCCACATGACAGAAAAACAGAATCATTTACTCCAAGTCGCTCTGACATCTACACGTGTACATACACACACAATAAAATGTAAAAAGAAATTTAAGAGTATTAATTTTTCAAACTATAGTCCTTGTAACAATAGCACCAGTGAGTTTGCTTAGAATGAAAATTCCTAGGCCCTACTTGACTAAATACATACAAATCTCTGGAATTTACCAGATTGGGCTCAAATTCCTGACAGCCCTTCAGTCCCAGCCTCCTGAGTACTGGGATTACAGAGAGAAGCCACCATGCCTAGTTATGAATAAATCTTATACTTGTTATAAAGTTGAGCAACCACTGCTGTGGTTGTTTAAAAGAAGATGGCCCCCATAGGGAGGGGCACTGTTAGGAGGTGTGTCCTTGCTGGAGGAAGCCTGTCACTGTGGGGGTGGGCTTTGAGGTCTCCTGTGCTCAAGCTACTTCTAAGAATCAAGATGTGGGACTCTCAGCTCCTCCAGCACCATGTCTGCCTGCACACCACCATGTCCCTCCATGACGAGAATGGACTGAATCTCTAAAACTGTAAGCCAGCCCCACTTAAATGATTTTCTTCTAAGAGTTTCCCCGGTCAAAGTGTCTCTTCACGGCAATAGAAACCTTAACCAAGACAACTATCTAAAAGAAGAAACTTCAAATTCAAAATTTCTCAAATTATGTACTTTAATCTAAATGTGATTCTTATCGACCTAACTTCTTAGACTGTGGGTGGCAACCACATCTGGCGTCACATACCTGGATGTGGTGGGGTTGCAAGAAAAAAGACTGACACCAAAAATTAGCTCAAACTCAACTGTGTAATAAATCTGAGGCACTTCTGGCCATGCTTGCTCATGTCCCATCATGCAACTCCACTGCAGCCTTAGTTCTGACACATGGCACACACGGCATGCCCAGCCTTAGTTCTGCACACACGGCATGCACGGCACACACGGCATGCCCAGCCTTAGTTCTGCACGCACGGCATGCACGGCACACACAGCATGCCCAGCCTTAGTTCTGCACGCACGGCATGCACGGCACACACAGCATGCCCAGCCTTAGTTCTGCACACACGGCATGCACGGCACACACGGTATGCCCACCTTAGTTCTGCACACACAGCATGCCCAGCCTTAGTTCTGCACGCACGGCATGCACAGCACACACAGCATGCCCAGCCTTAGTTCTGCACGCACGGCATGCACAGCATGCCCAGAACAGCCTCGAACTCCTCACCATTCAGCTTTCACGCCAAGTGCCAAGTGTGAGCCTCTCTCTCCAACTTACATTCCCATTTGTGCTTATTTTTGTTTTAAAAATTAGAAATTCCCAGAATACATTTACTACATGGTCTAAGATATACAAAATGACCTTACCTCTCTCACAGACAGCTGTGGTGGGAAGGAAACCGATAAAACCACACTGGTGAATTCAAACCCAGAGGCTTCAACCTTTTGGCACACCTAGAAGAGCATTACAAATATGTAAACTCTGAAGACTTGCGGAAATGTGGCTCTAATCATAGAGTTCCTCCCAGGACGTGATACTGCACAGCTCCCCAACATTCACTTAGCAGCCAGGGGCTGAGGCTCAGCAGTACTGTGCTGGCCCAGCATGTGCCAGGACAACTCTAGTGCTGCCCGAAACAAAGGCAAAGCAACAAAACTGATGCATTCAGTGGAGCACTCTTCACAGACATCATGAGAGTAAGCATTTCTTAGTTCTCACCCTACAAAACTGATGCATTCAGTGGAGCACTCTTCACAGACATCATGAGAGTAAGCATTTCTTAGTTCTCACCCTACAAAACTGGCAGTCAGGACATTCTGAGTGTCAAACAGTTCTTATTAAGTTTGCCATATGTGGATATACTTTCAGAATAGTTAGTCTTTTCTAATGAAGACGAGATTCCAGTGATTAACGCGTACAGACCAAGTTCAAATGAATGGTATTGTTTAGGACCGTTGGTCTAAGAGTCCTAGCTTAAAGGCTACGCTGTTTCTGACAATACCTATAATGAGATGGTTTACCTTTGCAATAAACTCTTTCTCACAGAATTCTTGAAGAATTCCTAAGCAAATATTGCACACACTCGAGTTTGAAGGGTCAGAAGCAATGCTTTTGTCTTCTGTGGTAGAGATCCCCTCTTGTCCGTTTCCACTCAAATTATCTGTCCCATCTTCTTGAAGACGAATTTTCTTCAATGGTGGGTTTGGAACTTCCAAAATTAATTCATCTTTTTCAGTTTCAAGAAATTTCTGTAGATCATTTAACAACTCCTAAAAAGTTAAGAAAAAGCAGAAACATTTTAAAGCGGCTTTAAGATTCCTAAGATGAAGTGTAAAAGTCAGCAAAGTGTAGTAATGTGTCTTCTTGTTTTTAATTGGTAGTGAAGGGCCTTCCCAAAATAACTACAAACCAGACTTGTACATTTCTTGACGGAGCCTTTTTATTTAAGATTAGGGTTTTAGCTTAAATAATTTGTGAAATTCTTTTGGAAAAGTATACACATATATAACATTTGGCTAGTATATGGAATAAATGCATTAATAATAAATTCGATCATCAGTAATGCATGGATGGATGCTGCACACAGGATGTGCCTACGGATGAGTACCACGATTAAAGGCGTGGTACTCCCCTTACAATTGCTTTCCTGGATCCCAGCCCTCTGGTCCCACTAGAGCACTCAGAGGCAGAGGGAGCAGATCCTCGTGAGTTCAAGCACCCTGGGCTACATAGTGAAGCACTGTCTCAAAGCAAGGTGTAGAGAGGATTATAACAGCACAGACTCATACAACGCTGGTTTATATCAACTCAGGAGTATCCAATTTACTACAGCAGTGACTTTCTAATCTGAGAGATTAATCTGTGGCGATACACTGCGATAGAAATATCTTACACTCTAAGAGCCCGGACCTCAGTCAAAGTTCATAGCGCGCCTTGAAGTCACTTCAGACTGCTGTACTGGTATGTGCTTGGCCTGTCTGTTTAACCAACCTTTAAGGGAGCAACAACCAACTTTACTTGCCTGGGCCTTCCCACATAATCCTTTATAACCCAAGATAACTTATAGCTATGATCTTAAATTATGTACTCTCCCAAACCCTTGGCCCAAGAGCAATGCACATGTGTCTGCATGTGTACTATGATAATCATTTGCTAGAAACAGCAAATAGGCCAAAAGCAGCCTTATAAAATGAATATTCACCGTAAATACTGAAAGAAGCATTCAGCTATTGCCTGATAGGGTTTGCTACCTGGGTCAGTTGGAGTCGGAACTAAAATCCTTATAAAATTGCTAAATATTTCTGCAAAGTATTCTCATTCCTTCATGTGATGATTTCTATGCCGTTTAATAAAAGAAATAGTGAGATGGCTGAGTGCTGTAGGAGCTCCTTCAGCCAATAGCCTTTAAGATATCAGCCCACTTGGGTGTGGTCTCTTATACTATAAATGCCAATATAAAGGGCACACACATGCTCTTTCTTCCAGCTGTTAGACGTGGTTCCTGTTCCCCGTTCATGCAGAAGACTGTGATCTGGGAGTCTACCCCTAAATAAATTTATTTAAGATTAGGGTTTTAGCTTAAATAATTTGAGATACTCAATTCTGACACAGTGTGGGATTTCTTTTTAGCGTCCATCTTCATCTGGCGCCCACGTGGATCCCAACTCCACACCTACCAGGTGGACTGGTCTAAAAGGCCCAAAAGGTCCACAGCCCAGAAGGTCTCCCATCCCTGCCCACCTGGCTTGGTTTCACCTACTAGGCTGTTTTTTGGCAAAACCCTACTACAGCAGAACTAAATGCGGTGACTTGTAAACTTCCCAGGCTCGTGCATGCTCTCCCTCTCCATTGCTGCTTTCCCTGCCAGGCAGCGACTTGGGCAGCTTCTGGCTTGTGCTACCTGTTCGTGAGCTCTGGGCTCCTTGCTCCGTGTACGGAATGGATTCAACTGCTCTTAATTTGTCAAGCAAAGCATACTTGTCAGTATTTAACCAGGCACCAACACAGGAAACCAAAGCGGCGCAGGACTGTTCATGCCGCCACCCTTCGCGTTTCTTATTACACTTACAACAATTTACCAAAATCTCATAAGAGAGGTAACTACTTAATTAATGAATAAATCAATAAACTTGAAAGTTATTTAATGGCAGACAGTATTATCATCCAGGAATTTGATAACCTTTTTGCTTATACTATGGATGGTAGTATTCTGCAAGGCTTATATGGTTTTTCTGATACATCCATTTATTGAATATTGGGACTTAGTTTTCTTTTTTATATTATATCCGTAAGAAAATGGTTTAATAACAAAGCCAAGAATAAGGCACTTTTAGGAATGATACAGTCCTTACAGACTAATAATGAACAGCTAGCTGACAGAATTAATAACCATCGAAAATCAAGAGTTATCTGAAAAAATAATACTATTGAAAAGGATAACATTAATTTGAAAAACAAAATCCAATCCATGTCAAAGGGTATTGAGAAATTATCTGAAAGAATTCATACTGTTGAATTTGACAATCAAAATCTATTAAAAGATATGATAGGTTTACAGATAAAGTATCTCTCCAGGAAGGCAATTTGCATGTTATTCAAATTATGTCCAAGGATGAGATGTTATCCTTAAAGGTAAAACTTCAAACCTTGGAATCACATGTTCAGAATGAGGATGAGAGGCTAGGTGCCTCTATGAAATCACTAGAAATATATACAGGCCAGGAGATTCAGGCTTTACAAAAGACAGTAGTAAAAATATGATATGATTGAGGAAATTACCAGAGCTAATAAGAAGGGAAACAATTGGAAATAATATGTGAACAATTTCCTAAATACATAATTTACCATTGCTTGGATGACATTCTGCTATCTGATTCAAATGTACATACTTTAGAAGGAATGTTTGAAGAAGTAAAGAAAGTTTTGCCTAAATGGGGATTACAAATTGCTTCTGAAAAAATACAAAGAGAATATTCTATCAATTACTTAGGTTATAAAATAGGTTGACAGAAAATTAGAACACAAAAGACACAAATTAAGAAAGATAATTGCAGACTCTTAATGACTTTCAATGATTGTTAGGAGATGGTTCCAGTCTACGACCCACTGATGGGATAACACCTGATCTAATAGTTCATTTAAACAAAACCTTAGATGGTGACAAAGACTTAAATAGTCCCAGGGAATTAACAGCTGAAGCTGAAAAAAAAAATTGACTATGGTTGAAGAGAAATCACAGGAGGCACATGTGGATCAGGTAGGGTGGATCTGATCTTAACTGCATTTCTAATCATATTGCCTCCAGAATTTCCCTATAGGAATTTTAATTCAGAGGGAAGATATTATCTTAGAGTGGATCTTTTTACCACATAATCCAAGTAAAAAAATTTAATAGCAATAGTCCCAAAAGTGATAGAATTAACCTTTTAAATATAACTAATTGGATCCTTCCCCGCATTGTACGTGACACACCATTAACTGGAACCCCCACATTCTACACTGATGCAAATAAATCAGGAAAGGCAGGGTACAAATCAGAAGATTTAAATAAGGTGGAATAAAGCTCTTATTGCTATTCTCATGGTACTAAGGGATTTTAAAGAACCTCTCAATATAATTACTGATTTGCAATATACAGAAAGAATTGTCTTGCATACTGAAACTGCTGAATTTATACCAGATGATACAGAATTGACTTCATTATTCATATATAAGATTCATTATATCAAGATATAATCAGGAATAGGCTTTGTCCTATATACATAACACATATCCAATTCCATACAGGTCTGCCAGGTCCTCTAGCACAAGGTGTTGCTGAAATTGATTGATTATTGATTGGAAATGTGCTGAAGGCCTGAGGATTTCATTAAAAAAAAAAAAAACATTATGTCAATAGCAAAGGTTTAAAGAAAGAGTTTCCTATTACAGAGCAACAAGCTAAGGAGATTACAAAAAGATGTACTACTTGCTCTTTCTATAACCAAACACCGCTACCTGCAGGCACTAACCCAAAGGGTACTCGAATGAAATCTGGCAGATGGATGTGATCTACTTTGCAGATTTTAGAAAATTAAAATATATACACCACACCACTGACACTGATTCAGGTTTTCAATGGACAACTGTTTTGAGCTCAGAAAAGGCTGATTCAGTAATCATGCATTTATTAGAAGTTATGGCCATCATGGGTATACCTGCACAAATAAAGACAGATAATGGTCCAGCATATGTCTCTTTAAAAAAAGAAACAGTTTTTTATTATAATATAAAGCATATTACAGGTATACCAAACAATCCTACAGGTCAGACAGTTATAGAAAGATCAAATTGAACTATAAAGGATATGTTAAAAAAAAAACAGAAAGGGATGGAAAATTCCCCCAGAAATAGATTGCATAATGCTTTATTAGCCTTGAATTTTCTTAACACTTATGAGAAAGAAAACATCAGAGAGACATTGGATAACAGAAAAAATTTCTGAATTAAATCAGCTGGTATATTTCAAGGATGTGTACCTCACAATGGAAACCAGGAGATGTGCTACGTTGGGGAAGGGGTTTGGCTTTTTCCACAGGAAAATAAAATAGGATACCATGAAAATTAATAAAGATTCAGCTTGAAAAAGAGAAACCTCTTGAGAAAGGGGAATGACAGCTCAACCATGGAGGAGACAACCATCCATACAGGTGGTAGGGAAACCTCATAAGGGTTGGGACAGGGTTCTGTTCTTGTCTTTGCAGGAAAATACTCATCTTCAAAAAGTCAAAAGGCCCTGGACATCTAGATGCCTAAAGAGAAAAAGTAACTATCCAGATAGGAATAATGACTTATGAGGACAGGTCAGTTGAGGCTGAAAATCACTGAACATATATATATATATATATATATATATATATATATATATATGGTGCCCACTAGAATAAGAGCCATGGCTCACTTAAAAATCAAAGCTGGATTTGGAGTTAGCCAATGGCTCTATCGTTCTCTAAATCCAAGCATATTGAAAAAAAAAAAAAAACATCGGAGTTTCTGTCTCTTGTCAGGAGCCATCGGATATGCGACCCAAAGAAGAAAGAATTTAGGAAAAATTTTACTTTTCTCCATACCTATTTCTGTCTCTATTGTACCTTTCATTGATTATATGTCTATATCAATAATGTTTAAGTTTTCCACAATGAACAATGAATTTTCCTGCAATAATCTTTGAAGTTTCCAGGAAGAAGATGGAGCACCACAAGGAGGACTCCACCTGGTTGATATGACGTCA